TTTATTATAAATCAGCAGCTGTTGCCGTGTTATTTTCTTAGTATTGGCGGCATAGGGGTTTCCACTATTCCATACTGGTGGTAAAAGGTGACTGAAGTAAACTGTATCAGAAGATACGCTGAAAAATCTGTAAGGCAAATTATGGAAAAGTATCGAAGATATAATCTAAATTTAAAGAGAGAGAAAGGTTAAAGTTCTTCACCTACGTCAGTCTTCTCTTACCGTTACAAATTGGTGCTTTTGAAGCCAAGAGTCCATATGCATCATCTAGAGTCTAGGCTTTCAAAGAGCTTATCATCACTCAATATATTATTGATAAGTATTTGCCATAATTATTATTAAAAATAGCTCTTAAATATATAAAAGTTTAATTAGGTAAGTTACGAGTGAAAAATAAATGTTACGTGTAGTAGACAGTGATGTGCCTTTCCTAGTGTAGTATATTATAATGGATTTCTGCAGAGTAACTACGGTTCCTATTACAAATAACTCTGCTAATCTATTCCATGAAGTCAATGAACGTTACGTGTGTACATAGGTAACGACTTAGGGACCTTCAAGAAAAGAGCTTACTCCTTTTTAAAAGGCCGACAAAATTCCCCTGGTTCCCCTGGTGTTGAAGTTGTTCATGGGCGACGGTAGTCACTTACCATAAGGTGAGCCGCACGCTCATTTGCCCTCTCTCATATAAAAATAAATACCAATATAGACGCAAGAATTGATTATGAACTGTCACTAATATTGGCGTTTGCGTTATATCCCACACATCCGTTGTCAATGTCCAATATCCGTGTTTATGTTAACGACTGCCTCGTTGATTTAGTAGTCGTAAACGCGGTTGCTGATAATGAGGTACTGGGTCCGAATCCCATGTCAGGCCAAAAACAAACCGTTGGTCCTGCGCCTGACCTCTTCAAGTCGTGTCAGATAACCGCCCCTTCGAACTTTGTGAGTGAGGGAAAAGATAGTGCACCTGTGTTTGCGCATACAATCGGGCACTATAATCCTGTCCTACGCTGATGACTAGTCTCCGTTGAAACTGCATGTCGTGACTGGACGCCATGTCTGGACGCCGTGACTGAAAGTCGGTCTGGAGGAAATAACTTTATTTTTCAGCTTTGGTAGCGCAGGTTATTCTATAACGCTCTTTGGGCAGTGCAGAATAAATTTTCTTGCTATCCTAAATTTTCTTTTTAATCTTCTCTGAAATATGAGGTGGTCTGTGACCCAGCAGTGGTACTTATAAGCTATAACTACACTAAACAAACTTATTTTAGATTATAAAATATTATCATTAATAAAATATATTACGCTTTTTTGTATCAGTTTCCACCAGCAAACGATTCAAATCTACTATGTCGTAATATATACTATATCAAATTCAAAAAACAACAACCCCACTTTTAAGCCGAAATATCATATATTAATTTGTCTTAACATAAATAAAACGCAAAATTTTGCTTATTTTAAGGCGAGAGCGAAGTTTCAGAAGTTGTCTAAAATAGTGGCTTGCGAAGTTGCTCCTGTAATTTAAGGATAACAAGTATTCATTAGCTCGTAAAAGTCCTCTTCTAAACATGAGTCTCTTCCATTGTAGGGAGTACGAAATGTCTTCTTTTTCTTCCTACCCTTATCATAAGTTATTTGGGTATAGCATATCTTCTCTTTCATTCTCCTCAATTAGCCGTCGTTTTTAGGGTTCCGTACCTCAAAAGGAAAAAACGGAACCCTTATACGATTACTTTGTTGTCAGTCTGTCTGTCTGTCTGTCAAGACCCTTTTTCTCAGGAACGCGTGGAGGTATCAAGCTGAAATTCGAATCAAATACTCAAGTCTACTGTCCCTTAGAGCTGTGAAAAAATCAAACTTCTAAGCGAACGCAATCTCTACGGGACGTGGACTACCATTTCTCAACTTTACCGTGATTGAAAAGTATTGAATAGAAATGATTGTAATTAACTTATAGATTTATGTGTCACAAATAAATGTGTATTTAAAATTGGCTTTAAGGTCGCCAATAATAAAACACATTTTATCAAAACCATTAGTAGAAGCAACACGTCCATACATCAGTTAGAAATCGATCAGCAATTTCATACAAAAGTCGCCACGTCCCGTAGAGAGTAACACATAAATAAAGTCGAAAATGTTGTGCACCACGTTTAAGCTGAATTATGGACGCAATAAACATCAAATACTGAAGCATATACGTCGTACCTTTATTTATGTTACGTTATTAGAGCTTTAGTCAGTGTTTATTTCATTTTAAAAATCTTTTCTTTTTTCGGTTCCAGCTATTTTGGCGGTGGAAGTATGTTGTACCCTTTTTACTGAAAATGAGGATAAAAAACAAGCACTTAGTCCACCTTTAGTAAGTAGGTAGTAAGTGGATGCTTTGGCTTTTAGACATCTGCATCTAACCTCGATTAAGAATCAAAATCCGGATGCGTTGTTACCCCCGAGGACCAAGATGGAATGCCTCGTTTCTAGTAAAAAGGTTCCGGTTTTCTATACCCACCATGTGAAATGAAGCAGCATCAAGCAGCTTTATTCACTGATATTCTGTGAGAGCATGTTCGTTTCCTGGAGGTATTCCATTTTAGTTCTCAAAGAGCATTGTTACCCTTCAATTTTGATTCTTGATCGAGTCTGAATGAAGGTAGATCTAATGACACGAAGACAGCCTCACCAATCACGTACCATCTGGTGGACTATGTTTGTTCATAAGCCTTACTTCTATACAGGATTATTTTGCAACTAGCTATTCCCCACGACTTCGTCCACGTGTTATTTGGGGTTTTAATTTTTTTGCGCGGAGCCCTAATTCTTTTACTAAAATAAAAGTAGCCTAAGTTACTCCATGTGACATCAGCTATCTGCTAGAGAAAATCCCGTCAAAATCGGTCCAGCCGTTTCGGAGATTAGCCGGAACAAACAGACAGACAGACGGACAGACAGCCAGACAGACAATAACTTTAAAAATTATAGTTTTGCTATTAGTACCATGTATACTTTCATATGCATTTAATAAAAAGCTGTAACTTTGATATTACGAACAGACACTTTAATTTTATTGCATACCTTAAGCGAAAGCGCAAGGTTTGTTCTAATATCGTCTAAAATTAAGATTCCAACGTTTTATCGAATAAAATCGTATCTAGCAATCATATTATACATATAAATGATATAAAAAGCACATTGTTAGAAAGATAAATGATTGTTGAACTCATTAATATTTTTTTAAATTGATTAATTGCTATTTTTAAATAAAAAAGGCGTTTTAGTGGCTTATGGTGTGGATTTATAAAGCCCCAAGGCTTGTAAACACAATAACTTGAAAATATCAATTGTTTAACTCAATCTTTTTTTCAATCTCTTCATCTATCATGTGGGAAGCCACTGAATGTAAATGGCAGTGTAATTTTGTTTTGTTTAGCTATAATTTATTTTTTCGGCTCCAAAATGGTGGAATTTTCGTTGATTTGGTTGCCTTGTATGTAAATTATTTCTGTAAATGGGGAGCTACAGCCACAGAATAGTATAAGTTCGGCTTCAGTCGCCGTCGTCAGTGGACATTGTTTCGGTTGTTTGCAGCGGCTCAAAAAGATCGCTGTACAAATACACAATATTCGAATAGGTAACCAAATTTCTTAAATACTTGATTATAATAATAATAAGAGATTTTTTTTATTACAATATTTTAAAAACACAGAATAAATAATACGAGTAGCAGTACGTACTAAAAGTAAGTAGTATAATTTTTTTTGTCATGGGTGACATTTTCATGGTTTTCGAGGGTGTTGAAACCGATAGGGTTGTCGAAATGTAAATCCAAGATGGCGGCCGCAATAGGTATCAATTTTTTCATCATTGGTGTCATTTTCATGGTTTTCGAGGGTGCTGAAGACGATAGTGCTGTCGAAATGTGAATCCAAAGTGGCGGCTGCAATAGGTATAAATTTTTTCATCATGGGTTTCATTTTCATGGTTTTCGAGGGTTTTGAAGCCGATAGTGCTGTCGAAATGTAAATCCAAGATGGCGGCTGCAATAGATACAATTTTTTTCATCTTGGGTATCATTTTCATGGTTTTCGAGGGTGTTGAAGCCGATAGTGCCGTCGAAATGTAAATCCAAGATGGCGGCTGCAAAGGTACCTATAAATTTTTTCATCATGGGTGTCATTTTCATGGTTTTCGAGTGTGTTGAAGCCGATACTGCTTTCGAAATGTAAATCCAAGATGGCGGCTTCAATAGGTATCAATTTTTTCATCATGGGTGTCATGTTCATGGGTTTCGAGGGTGTTGAAGCCGATAGTGCTGTAGAAATGTAAATCCAAAATGGCGGCTGCAATAGATATCAAATTTTTCATCATGGGTGTCATTTTCATGGTTTTCGAGGGTGCTGAAGCCGATAGTGCTGTCGAAATGTAAATCTAAGATAGCGGATGGAGTAGGTACCAATTTTTCCATCATGGGTGTCATTTTCATGGTTTTCGACGGTGTTGAAGCCGATAGTGCTGTCGAAATGTAAATCCAGGATGGCGGCTGCAATAGGTATTAACTTTTTCGTCATGGGTGTCATTTTCATGGCTTTCGAGGGTGGTGAAGCCGATAGTGCTGTCCAAATGTAAATCCAAGATGGCGGCTTCAATAGGTATCAATTTTTTCATCATGGGTGTCATTTTCATGGTTTTCGAGGGTGCTGAAGTCGATAGACCCTCTCCAGCCTTCTTACGAGGCGGACGTGTGTTTGATCCTCTTAAACATTTAATTTATTTGATTACGCAAATATCGCGACTAAACTAAGTAAAACAGTACTGTTTGTGATCAGTATCCCTTGTAGTTATTCAGTGTCTTTAATAGTCAAAGCCAAGTGTATTGACAGTTCGCGGATGCAATAAGCGAGCGCGGTGCCCGCATTCCTCACCGCTGCGATACGAGAGGGCTTGCATAATTGACGTCTTTATCTAATTTTAACCTATAGTGTCTCGTTATTATGATGAATTGTTTAGCGTGTACCCGCGAAGTCGGAAAAGAAGATTATTTGCAATGCGCAAAATGTAACGAAATATTTCACTATTTATGCCTTAACATACGCCCAGAGAATATTGCGGGCTTGCTTCCAGACGCATTACTTAATTGGATTTGCCCCATGTGTATGATTAAGCAACCGAAAGGTAACAATTCCGAATCGGTAGCTCGCCCCTCAACACCTACATCGTTAGCAGAAATTTCGTTTAATAACGTGTCCCGACGTAAGGCGCCTGCAAAACTTGATACTAACATCAATGTAGATAATACAAGTGATTATGTGCGTCGCTCAGAACTGCGAGAAATACTTCGCGAAGAAATAGCAACGGGGTTAAAGTCTTGCACCACGGAGTTTACAGTTGGCATTAGCACAATTAATGGACAAATAAGTAATCTTAAATGTTCTATTGAATTTATGAGTGACAAGTTCGATAAGATTTCAGACGAATTTAAAATTCAACAACAAGAAATATTCATCATTACAGCCCTTCACAAGTCCACTGCTGAACATAGGCCTCCCCCAAAGAATGCCACAAAGCACGGTCCTGAGCCACCTGCATCCATCGACTTCCTGCATATCTTACCAGGTCGTCACTCCATCTAGTGGGGGGACGCCCTACACTTCGCCTGCCGGTACGAGGCTGCCACTCGAGAACCTTTCTTCCCCATCGGTTGTCGGTTCTTCGAGCTATATGGCCGGCCCATTGCCATTTCAGCATACTAATCCGTTGGGCTATGTCGGTCACTCTAGTTCTACTGCGGATATCCTCATTTCTAAGTTTATCACGCAGAGAAACTCCGAGCATAGCCCTCTCCATAGCTCGCTGAGCGACCTTGAGCTTCCTCATCCGGCCAGCAGTGAAGGACCACGTCTCAGTTCCGTATGTCATCACTGGCAACACGCACTGGGTGTACAGTCTCGTTTTCAAGTTTTGAGGTATACCTGACGAGAAGATGTGCCGTAATTTTCCGAACGCTGCCCAACCGAGTTGAATCCGTCGATTGACCTCTCGGTCGAAGTTGGACTTACCTAATCGGACTATTTGTCCCAGGTAAACATACTCGTCAACAACTTCGAGCTTAGTGTTCCCAACAACTACCGGCATAGGTGTGACATGGACATTAAACATGATCTTTGTTTTGTCCATGTTCATCTTAAGAACTATCCGTTGGGAAACACTATTGAGGTCATTGAGCATAGTGCTTAGGTCCTCCAGCGATTCTGCCATAAGGACTATATCGTCGGCAAATCGAAGGTGAGTGATGTACTCGCCATTGATGTTGATACCGTATCCTTTCCAGTCCAGAAGCTTGAAAACATCTTCCAATGCAGCGGTAAAGAGTTTCGGGGATATGACGTCACCCTGTCTTACACCTCTCTGCAATTGGATAGGTTTCGTACTCTGGTTCTGTACTCGGATAGCCATCGTAGCCCTAGTGTACAAGAAATATTGGTATTAAAAAAAGAAAATGATTCTTTGCGTTACGAGATTAACACCCTCAATAATAAATTGAACCAATTCGATCAACTTTCCCGTGCATCTTCCTTGGAGATACAGTGCGTGCCCGAAAGAAAAACGGAGAATGTTGTAGGCATATTAAAACAGCTAGGATGCGCCATTAACCATACAATGAGTGACCATGATATTCTGTACTGTTCACGCGTCGCTAAGCTTAACCCGGCCAGCCCTAGACCACGTACAATTATAGTGAAGTTTAGTTCACCACGAATTAGAGATTCGGTGCTTTCTGCAGTCAACAGGCATAACAAAGTAAACAAGGAGAACAAGCTCAACACTCATGACCTTGGCTTCGACTCAGAACAAAAGAAACCTGTCTTTGTTATTGAGAACCTCTCCTCCGAAAATAAGCAGCTGCATGCCGCAGCTCGTAAACGTGGGAAAGAGCTCAAATACAAATACACCTGGATTCGTGCTGGTCGCATTTACATGAGGAAGTCGGATACAAGCGAAGCAATTTTTATTCGTAACACTGAAACACTTGATAAGCTTAAATGACTATGTTTTATTGTTATTAGTATAATTCTTCATCCATCTACTTGCATATGTACTTTCGTTAAAATGATGTATCGGTACTGTTTTTTCTTTTTCTTTTTCTTCTTTTTTAACATGGTATGTAAAAACACAACAAAATCATATCATAATTATGTATTGTTGTGTTTGTTAGAATGTATTGTTTTATTTAAAATTGCAGACTATATGATGTTCTTATATATCAATAATAACATTCAAAGGTTTTGGACTGTTGGCAGCTCATATGTAGTTTATCACGATAAATTACAAAAATACAATTTTGCATGCATTTGTAAGTATTTTTTTTTTTTTTATTATTCAGCAAGGGTTGTGCACGATAATTATTTTGTATTGTCATAATATTATAATCTTTAATATAACCAAAATTATACTGAAACTAATTTATTTTTTTTACCTAACCTGGATGTGTTATTTACTAATAAATCAACTCTTTATACAACAATTTAATAGAGAAAAAAATTTTATGATGCTGGCTCTCTATTGTGGTGATTTTTATATATACAATATAATATTAATGTCAACCGAAGTTTCTCTTATTATATATATCTACAGAAGTTAGGAAGGACAAAAGAATATCTGTGTATTATCAAAATGTGCGTGGACTTAGAACGAAATGTGTAGATCTTTATAAACAAATTGCGAGCAATAGCTATGATATCCTATTATTTACTGAGACGTGGCTTCAGAATGACATTCTAAGTTCTGAATTATGTGATAATCGTTATGACGTCATGCGTTTAGACCGTAACTTACCTCAAACACAGAAAAAAACTGGTGGTGGTATAATGGCTTGCATAAGGAGTGAATATGGAGCTATACAAATGCATGGTTTTAGTTCTAACCTTAATACTGAGTAACTCTGTATAACGTTGCCTGCGGGTGAATTGGGAACTAAATGTAACCTAAATATTATTTTGGTATATATTCCTCCTGATTCATATAATATACCGTCGCAACTAAATGAAGTAAACAACTTTGTCACATCATTAACTGAGCGGTACCCAGGAGACACATGCCTATTGGTGGGTGACTTTAATCTTCGGTGCTTTAAATGGCAGGATGGTCATCACGAATTACTTCATAACATGAGTATGGAAATTCAGGATGCAGCACTATCGCTTGTGGAGGGTATGATTTTCTTGGGCTTAAATCAATTTAATAGTATTTTAAATGGTAACAGACGTACACTGGACTTAGTATTCTGCAATCTAAACACAGAAGTTCTAAGATGTTCTTCCCCTCTTTTGACAGAGGACAAACATCACCCTTCTTTGTATATTGACATCACTGATCTATTTGTGACCCCTTTCAAAGAAGTCGTCACACCGCGACGTGATTTTTACAAATGTGATTATGTTGCAATTAATAACTTCTTTATACAAACTGATTGGGATGGTATGCTGCAGAATAAATCGATGGACGAGGCTACGACATTATTTTACAGTAAATTAGAAGAATGTTTTGATCTATTTGTACCTATAAAAAATAAAACTAGCACTAAAGAATATTATCCCACTTGGTATAACTCTGCTTTAATAAAAGTCATACGTGAAAAGAGTAAGATACATAACAAATGGAAACGCTTTAGGAATCCTCGTGATTACGATGAGTTTGCTTTGCTACGTTCTCGTGAAAAATTACTTCAGCAACAATGTTTTAATAAGTATATCAACTGCATGGAGGATAGGATTCATCTCACTCCCAAGGCTTTTTGGTCATACGTTAAATCGAAGCGTGGTGGTTCTCGATTCCCCAAGCAATTAAGTTACCAGGGTAAGTCCATTACTGATGGCAATGCTATATGTACTGAATTTAATAGTTACTTTAAGAGTATGTTTTCAGGTTCTTGCCCTCAGTATGCTAGATCTGTAAATGGTGACGGTGAATGTTGCACCTTTGACACAATATCTGGTCTAACCGTAACAAAGGATGACGTTTTTAATATGCTTAAGACGCTAGATGTTTCTAAAGGCCCTGGGTGTGATGGAGTAGCACCCGTATTTTTACGCAACTGTGCTGAGTCATTGGCATATCCTATATATTTATTATTTAAGACATCGATAAACCAATGCGTCTTTCCTACATTGTGGAAAAAAGCATTTATTATACCGATTCATAAGAAGGGCTCAAAAGTGGAAATAAGTAATTACCGTCCCATTTCTATTTTGAGTACAATTAGTAAATTGATGGAAAAAGTTGTTTATAATAACATTTACCCTGTAATTGTAAAAGGCATTTCACATCATCAGCATGGCTTTTTAAAACGAAAGTCTACCATCTCTAACTTGGCAGAATTTTGTGACTATGTTATTTGTGGGATGGAAGACTGTGGACAGGTTGATGTGATCTACACGGATTTTGAAAAAGCTTTCGACCGTGTGGATCACAGCATCCTCTTAGACAAATTATACAGGCTTGGTATTCATGGTGACTTACTAAGATGGACTACCTCTTATCTCTCTAATCGTTCTCAAGCTGTTGTCATTGGTGGTTTCAAGTCTGATTTCATACAAATTCCATCAGGTGTTCCTCAGGGATCACACCTTGGTCCACTTCTCTATTCTGCATATATATATGATATTAACCAATGTTTTGAATTTTCAAATCATCTACTTTACGCTGATGACAAAAAGGTGTTCATGAAAATTAACTCGATTAAAGATTGTGAATTAATTTAACGTGACAACTTACACTCATATTATGTCCGAAACAATATAACAGTAAATATAGGTAAATGTCAATGTATCAGTTTTAGCCGAAAGAAAAATAAAATTGTTTTTCCGTATCACTTTAAAAATGAAGGCATAAAACGGACTGAGATAGTAAAGGATTTAGGAGTTTTCCTTGTTTCTAAAATGATGTTTTCTGAGCATGTCAACCATATCGTAAATAAATCATATTGCAATCTGGGGTTCATTATGAGGACTTGTAAACCTTTTAAAAACATAAACAGTCTCAGATCTATCTACTACGCATATTGTCGCAGTATTCTAGAATATGGTAGCTCCATATGGTCGCCGCAATATGCTTTGTATATAAACAGATTGGAAAGAATACAAAAACTCTTCATAAAGCACCTCAATTACAAAACCGGCATGCGTCGTTGTGAAACTTATAATGAGGAGTGTATTAAATACGGTCTCTTGTCGCTGGAATCTAGACGTGAATTACTTGATATGTGTTTTTTGCATGATATCCTTCACAGTAACATTTACAGTCCTAATCTTCTCGCAGGTATCCAGTTCTGCACTCCTAAGTACCGTACTAGAAAGACCCCACTTTTCAATGTACCTAAACATCGTACCAAATACGGTATGAACGCTGTCATGACTCGTCTACCCAAAATTTATAATAGTAAATATAGTAATGTTGATATTTTCAATTTTTCTAAGTCTAACTTTAAATACAAACTTATCCTGAAGCTGTCTAAGAAGCAGTAACAATTCTGTAAAAATAACAATTTGGAAATCATGTCGTTATATTAGTTATAATAGAAATATAAGGCATACAAAATAACATGTAACATATTTATTTTATGTATTTATATTAT